TAAATTAAAAAATAATATAAAAAATGAACTCAGGGACATAGGGAGGAAAATGTGAAACAATAAATGAATGAAAATCCAACTTTTCTGTAAGCTTTCATTAAAATCACAATTAAAAAAAAAGAGGAAAAATAAAAAGTATTGAAGTAAAAATAAAGTGGTCTTTTGCATCAGATTTGACCATAGCAATATCCTTTGCTTTTTTTAAATGCTGCTATTTCAATAAATATTGACTGTGGATCCACGAAAATTTAAATTTGTGGTAACTTCAATATTTTCTCCACCTGTTATGTGGTTGCCTCTTGTATTTTGCTTTCTTTTTATTGAGGTGTAACTCATACTAAACACTGTAATCTTTGATCTTCAGTGTTTCAAGACTTCTTGCAGTGTTTCTGCAATAGGTTGTATTATCTGCATAAAGCAGGTTATTGATGAGTTCCAATTCTGACACCACACTCTTCCTTATATAGTCCAGCTTTTTAGAAATTCTATTCAACATGCAGGTTAAATTTTTGTTGTTGTTATATACCAGTGATTCTGAACCAACTTATAGTTGATCCTCCAGTGGGTTTTCAGAGGTTGTAAATCACACTGGAGGAGACTGTCCATCTCTCTCCCACAAAGCAGCCAGTGGATTCAAATTGTGTTCCTTTGGGTTGGCAACACAACTCCTTACCAGTAAGCCACATAGCAGAATAGTTCTCTACAGATTGAATGTTGTTATGTGCCATCGAGTCAACTACAACTCATAACAATCCTATAAACAACGGCTTTGAACCTTACCCTACTCTGAGCCACCTTCTCTGATATACCTGACCCCATTGGTGAAGAAAGAAGTCTGTCCTGGAGAGGCTAACACCAAATCGCTCTTTAGAGGCAAGGATTTTAAAGCTCTGTCTCATATACTTTGACATGTTATCGGGGGGGCCAGTCCTTGGAGAAGGATTTCATGCATGGAAGTGGGTGGAGAGTCAGCTCAGGAAAAGAGGACTCTGCATGAGATGGATTGACACACAGTGAATTGCTATGGTCAAAGTCTGTAACTCTGATGTATAGCTTTCCTTGTTTTTAACCACATGTTATCATTTCATGTGGCTTAGTGGTAAGTAATTGTGCTGTCAACTCAAAGGTTGGAAGTTTGAATATTCTAGCTTCTCCATGGGAGACAGATGAGCAATCTCCTCACAGGCACTTTACTGACCCTGGACATCCACTGGAGGATCAGCTATGGGTTGATTCCAACTCTAAGGTACACAATAATAATTGTCCTGTATGAATGACTGCTTCTTGGCTAGTGCACGTTCTATAGAAGCACAAAGAAATGTTTTGGAACTCCCATTTTTTAAAAATAGTGTTATATGACTTTTGATTTGATCTACACATTCAAATGACTCTGCATATTCAATAAAACATGGGTAAAAATTTCTTGTATACTTTGCTTTCATCCAAGATCCACTTATATTCTTATATTAGCAGTGACATCCCTTGATCCAAGTCCTCTTCTGAGTCAAGCTTGAATTTCTGACAATTCTCTGACAATGTGTAGTTGCAATTATTTTAATTATCTTAAGATAAATTTTAATTTATTAATGATGTTGTTGTTGTTGTTGAGTGCCATCAAGTCGTAGATGACATGATTTGATAATTTCCATTCTCTTTGATAGGCTTTTTAAGGAATGAGGACATATATGGGTCTCTTCCAGTCAGGTGACCAAGAAGAAATCTTTCCAATTTCTTGGTAGAGACGAGAGAGGTTTCCAGCATGACATCTAAAGGAGGTTTTTAATTCTTCAGTCAGTCCGTGACAGAGTTAATATTCTTCATCAATATCATAACTCAAATGCATCAGTTCTTCTTCAGTCTTTTTTGTTCATTGTCCAGCTTTTACATGCATACAAAGTGACTGAAAACAGCTTGACTTGTATGGGGGGCATCTTGGTCCTCACAGTGACATTTTTGTGTTTTAGAAAAGCCAAAGAAAAGAACATGCTAAGCTTTTCTCCAGATGAATGAACAGAAAAATAAATTTAAGCTTAGAGTTTCAATACGGAAAGATTCCATGGGTATAAGTAAATATTTGACTTGTAATATTTATAGTCTAGCAACTCGATGGCATATAACAATAACAAACAATAACAGGAAACATTGTCTCCTAGGCCATTTAGGATAATTAAGACTTAGAATTGATGGAATGACAAAATAAGCTTTATTTTCTTGATATATGATAGGTGAAGATCATTGTTGCAAGGTGCCTTCAAGTTGAGCATGAATCATAGCAACCTTATGAACCACAGACCTGAACCTTGTCCTAATGTGGCCCATCCTTTCCACCTCTGATATACTTGAGCCCACTGTTAAAATCAATCCAGAACCCTGAGGTCTTCCCCTCACTTGATAACCATACACCTCTCCAAACATGTTATCCTTTTCCAAGGATTGACCCCTCCTAACAACTTGCCAGAAGTATATGAGATGAAGCTTCACAATCCTTGCCTCTAAGGACCACCCTGGTGGCATTTCCTCCAAAACATACTTGCAAAATCCATACTATGCTTGTGGTGTGTTGTGTTCACACCACTTCCATGATGTACTGTGAGAAAATAGAAACATTTTCTAACCACACATCACTGAAACTGTGTAGGAAATAGATGTAAAGAAGATGGTCATGCTGGTGACACCAACAGTAACTGGAAAGAAGAGTATGACATATCATATCTAAAATACTGTACCTCAACTTGAAAGTAGGTTTTCCCCCTTTCTCATGAATGACTTATGTATATAATATTTGTTGTTGTTATGTGCTGTCAAGTCGCTTGAGACTCATAGCGACCCTATGTACAACAGCTCTAAACTCTACTTTGTCCTGTGCCAATTGCACTGTCTCCAACACACTCATCCCAATTGCCCCAGTCACCAAATCAATCCACCTCCCAGAGGGTCTTTCCCTCCTGCGCCTGCCCTCCACCATCCCAAGCGTGATGTCTCTCTCCAAGGACCAGTCTCTCCTTACAACATGTCCAAAGTATGTCAGATGAAGCTTCAGAAACCTTGCCTCCAAGGAGCAGCCCGGTTTAACCCTCTCCAAGATGAATCTGTTTGTTTTCTTTGCAGTCCATGGTACCATCAGCACTCTTCTCCAACACCAAAGCTCAAAAGCATCAGTTCTCCTTCTATCCTCCCTATCCATTGTGATTGCAAAGACCATAGCCTGTACCAGTCTCCAGAAACACACCGTTGCTCTTCAGTACTTTAGAGAGGTCCTTAACAGCAGACTTTCCCATTGCAATACGTCTTTTAATTTCCTGGCTGCTGGTGCCAAGAGTGTTGATTGTAGAGCCAAGCAGACTTTTTTAAGACAGTGAAATCAATAGGCTTTAGAATCAGGGTTAAAGTCTCAACTCCACAAACTCCTTAAGCAAACCTAAGTATGACAGACACCATGCAGGAAACAAAGCTGTGTAGAAATGAATTTAAAATAAGGCGCTTGTGTGCGTACACCCCCCTCCCCCAATTAATTGCCTCCTGGGTCTCTTTCCTCACTCAGAGAGTAAAAGATTGGACAGATGATTTCTGAAGGCCTCTTTAATCCCAGCATCCCAAGGCTCCAAGGCACTTGGTTTGAATCCATCAGCTTTCCTACAGGAGAAAGATGGGCAATCTCTTCCCATGAGATTTATTACCTTTGAAGACCTGCTGAAAGGTCAGCTACAGTTTGGTTCTGACAAACAATACACAATAACAACAGGGCTCAAATTAGGGAGTCTGGTTGCCAAGTTCTTAAAGTTGCCCTTCCAACCCAAAGTCTGTTGGTTCTAATTCACTCCTATGGGATTTGTTGTTGTTGTGTGCCATCGAGTCAGAATCAACTCACAGCTGACCCTGCAGTGAGTTTTCAGAGGTAGTTCATCGTATGGAACAAGACTGTCCATTTTTATTCTGCTGAGCAGATGATGGATGATAAGAGTCTCGTGCCTTCAGGATTGCAGCTCAGCTTCTTGTAACCTCTTAAAAACCAGTGAGTTGATGACTCTACACTCAAGAGTAGGTCCTAGTACTGGCTTCACTGATTAAGTCCTGTAATCCTCAATAAAACTACACTAAAGCACACACTTCTAACCTGGTAGCATTTTCAATCAGAATTTGTCACCGTTCAAAGCTCAGATTGACTATAGTGCAATATTTTTCAAGGTTCAAGTTTTCATTTTGATTTTAAACAGTTCACTTTCATAATACATCTGTTTTAAGAAAAGGTCGTTTCCCGGTAGATCCATCCACCTCACTATACTAGCTATTTGTAACTCAAGAAATAATTTCCTAAGCTTACTTTGTATTGCTATTTTTCTATTTGAGGTCGACATATAGCAACAGCCAGCCATTGTTGACATTAAAGGAAAACTATTTTCTTTGCAACTTGGTGACTTCTATGCATGACAGACTAATTCATACATTCCTTTAATCCAGAATTGAAAAGTTTCTGTTCCCTTGCTTTATAGAGACTCCCTTTTGCTCTGCAACTTCATTTGATATATGCTTCCCAGGACGGAGTGGAGATTTCTGGCGAGGAGAGGCTGGAAAATGTAACTCCAAATTTCCTACAATCTCAGCTCCACTTTCTCCCTTCCTCCCAGCTAGAGGCTGAAGCCTTGTTATTGTCACGTGGCCGCCTCCCTGCCCCGCCTCGCCGCGCGGCCGCTCAGGAACTCCGCTCTCCGCCGCGGGGAGGAGACGCAAAAGTTTTTTTCGCTCACTGGGCTAGAAAAGGCTTCGGAGCGTCTATACCTCTCTGGCTGCAACTCAGCCTCAGTTGGCCATTCTTTTAGGTTATCCACTCAGCGAGGGAGCATGAAAGGGCTTCGTTGCAGGGAGTAAAAGAAAGGCGTTGATCAGAGCGAGAGGAAAGACCGCGTGCGCGCGTGGGCCGCTCTCCTCCGCGGGAAGTTTGCGCGCTCGGACCCAGTGCGCACCAGGCTGCTCTGAGCGCCTGGCGGACGAGAGGCCGCACGATGGGCGCCCCGAGGCTACGAGCACCGGCGGCTGCGCTGGGGCTCTTGCTGTGCGCCGTGCTGGGGAGCGGCGGCCCGGCCGAGGGCAGTCACGGCGGTCTGGGGGCACTTGGACCCTCCGGGGCTGTCGCCAAGCGCCCGTGTCCCACTGCCTGCCGTTGCCTTGGAGACCTGTTGGACTGCAGTCGCCGCCGCCTGGCGCGCCTGCCCGAGCCGCTCCCGCCTTGGGTAGTTCGGCTGTAAGTATCATTCACGTGGATTTAGGGGACTGGGCCCCTCTTTCTGGAAAGCTGGAGTCATGGAGAGGCGTGGGCGCTCAGTGTCTTCAGAGGAATTTGTCCTGGCCCAGGCCTAGAGCAATTCTCTGTGGAGTTGGAGCCGTCGGGGCCTCCATCATCCCTAGGCCAGTGCGCAGGTGGGCGCTTGGCGCGCACCCCTCAGGGCTGCAGATGCGCCTGGGGAGAGGGACGTTGACAACTCCAAAGCGACAAAACCGTGGTCCCGCACTTTCAGCTCCCCATGGTGTTCAAATCCATCCCTTACTGGGTCAAGTAACTGGAGTAAGCGACCTGGGGAGTGCTGGAGTTTGCCTTTCCCCCTGTGGTTCAGCTTAGGTTTCTGATTGATTCAGGCAGTCACTTAATGAGTTCCTTTAATTTGAGTTCCTTTAAGGGGTCTCTCTTATCAGAGTTCGGCCAGTTTTCAAACTATGGTTAATAGTGTTTTGTTGTAGTCTCCCTGTGCATGATTAATTTCGCTTTCGTCGACCTTAAACACTTTTCACTCCCTCCCGCCTTTCAACCCAAGTGTAACATCTTCATCCTCCGCCCTTTAAGAAGTTGATTAAGACTGATCTGAAAATGTGGAAGAGAACTAGGAGTAGGAGAGTTCCCTTGGGTTATGCAAGGTTTTGGATTCTAGCTGTGAAGTCTGAAAGTCTCTGCCATCCCCAGGGGAGAGAACAGGGAAGAAAATGTCATGTAGGTGAAAATGACGATTCTTCCCAAATTTCTTCTCTCTTTATACTTTCACAGCCCTAAGACTATAAAATATAAACCATCAAAAGGTGTGCGCGCGCGTGTGTGTGTGTGTGAAAAAGTTAGCCTTTTTAAAAGAAAATGCATTAGGTCTGGGCTCAACAATTACCGTCTTAAACAATTCTAATAGCAATAGCAACTTTGGTCGGGTAGTTTAGGATTAGGAAACCCTTTTGTGCTAGTCTAAATCCCTTTATTTGTGGGGACTGGGTTTGGTGGGTGTCAAACAGCATATGCTGTGTGTGTATGTGAGTGTGTGTTTCTTAATAAATTTTGGTTTAATTTTTTGGGTGTGTGTGTGTGTTTAAAAGTAGAATTACAGAATATTGGATTGATGTTTAATCTTTTATCATTGGATGTCTTACTTAGTAGTTTTTTTATTACTCTTGAAGAAACAGATAAGGGTTTTAACCTAAAGCAGGAAGACTTTCAATTAGTTGTGGCTAATTCTGTTCAATTGCCTCTTGTGGAGGTCATGCTGCCTTATTCATGAAACATGAATGGCTCTATTGACAACATATGGAACTGAACATTTGAATGACTGGAGGTGAACACCTTTGAATAATACAGAGATGAGAAAAAGAAAGTGATTATCATGCGTCCTGGAGTACTTGGATCTTTTATCAAATCTAACTTGTGTCAAGCAGTTTCTCAGTGTCAAGTGACCTGTTGGAGTTTTCTAGTATTTAAATATAT